AAGCAGACACAATCTTTCATCAGTAGGCTACATTCTTATTCTTATATTTTTTGTCTTTATGCACTCATTCAAAAGCCTATAAATAATAAATAAAAACTCAGAACTTCACAAAAATTGATGAGCGTATGTGACATAACATGCTGAAGAAGCATGCACAGTTTCATGGAGATCGAACCATAGGTGGCGCTATAACTGTTAAAAATCTTTAAAACCATGCATTTCCAATGGTAAATTGCCTGTATTGGCTGTGAATGGTGTTTTCCATTTCCAATATTTTCCATCTACTCCTGAAAGTCAAGGTGGATTATTGGGAGGAATTGTGAAGCATTGTGTTTTGAGTCAAATCCAATATTGGATTCCATTTGTATTGGATTCAGAATCAGAATCCATTTGTATTCCAGTATTGGGTTTGAAAGTTTTTATTTTTCTTCACAAATTGCGGAAATTGAATCATTGTTGAATCATTCATCCCAAAAGAAACGGTAGGGTGCAACAGTCCACAAAATTCACAGTTCAGTGTATACAATTTTGTGTGCGATACATTGGTGTCATGGTTCAGTTCATTTTAGATACAACAAAAAGAAAGAAATGCCAAAGAAATTTCCTTTTAATTTTTTTTCTTTTTAAATTTAAACTAGCATCATAAAGTATGATCATTTTTTTTACTTTGAACAAAGATGGAGATATACTTGACTCTAAATATGGTATATCATGGTAAATCATGCTTTCTACATAACACTTAATGTCTTTTGATGCTTTTGTGCTTAAAGGCCTTCAAGGCCTAAACTGCTTGAACCCCGCTAAATGCTGCTTGCAGCTTTAATTATTATTATTATTATTATTATTATTTAAATCCCTACATTTAGTTAAAATATTTGGCAGCTGCATCAATTCTGTAGTTCACAGACTCCTAGTGAGCATGGTTAACAAAAAGCACTATGTAGAACTTGTTAAGCAGGCATGTTTGCCTTATTTCCATACATAATAACCCTCAATTTTATCTGGAGGGCTTGCACATAGGCTATATGGTGTGTGAAAAGAGTCAAGACAAAGGGGGTCTGATGCTCGGCCCAGGGAACTTAAATGAGAGGTGTGAGGTCAAAGCAGCTCTGCACCTGCTGGTGGCAAGAGTGGGCCTACCCCAGACCTCAGACCTGCACTTCTGAGACAGAGCTGAAACAATAATGGACGTTTCTGGGATTCAGAAGACAGAAAGACATTTGTGATTGCATAATATCATGGTATTATATTTTCTCAGCTGGATAGATGTTAAATATAAGGATTACACTCTGAATGCTATACGATAATACCATACTGTAAGATCTGTCCTGTTTTTGAAGCTTAAATTGGTAAGAATGCATGAAAAAAAAAATCTAGATTGAATCACATAGATCGGGGTTTTAACAAACTGGGCTCCAAGGATCCAAAGGGGCTGCATAGGAGAGCTAGGGGGTCCTTTTTAAATTTTAGAGAAAAAATGTATTAATGAAACAATTAATATTAAACTAACCAAATAACTAAATTCGAATACAATATTTTTTATTTGATTTAAATAAAAAGTAAATTGATTAAAATAATGAATGAATGAAAATTGATTTTAATAAATAGATTAAAATAAAATAATTAATAACATTTTAATAATTTAATTGATTAACATAAATGCAATTTGGTTTAAAATAGTAACACAATCATAGTGTGTAAAAATGCCAAAGAAATGCCAAATCATATTTTACACATGTATAACAATATTTTGTCACAGTATTAAAGCTACAATATGTAATTTTTGCTAACCTATTACAATAACAAAGGCGTAGATTTATGATGCAGCGAATAAGCGGAATCATGAAATTTGTCGTCAAGCCAATGGATTTAATTATGTTTATGGGAAATAATGTTTATGGATGAGTGAATACATTCATGTTTTTTTTAACATGACTGTGGTGTGAAGCAGGGTGTGATTGCTAAAGAGACGTATACCAGCACCACACACAAGTCCTAATGAGGACATTTAATTCTAGCGAACTACTCGCGAGTGCTGAATTACTACTCAAACTGGTCAGTTTATGCAACAAATTAAAATTGAGAGGTAACGCTGCACTGTTTCACTTGGTCTACACTATCATACTAAACAGCATTGAAAGTTGTGTGTTGAAAGTTATAATGTTATTCTATGTATTAGTTTGTTGGCTGCATGAGACAGCTAAGTTAAATTGACATTATAGAATAACATACTTACTGATCATATTCTAACATTTTATCATGTTGAGATATAACATTAATTTGTTTATGTTGATCAGTTGAACGAAACATCAACAAGCATTTCACTAGACGTTACACAGCTGTCCATGTCTGTTGCCATGGTTACTATGGCAGTACAAGCAGAAACCAGGGATAACGTGGATATTACTTCCTTGACAGGTGAACAAGTGACAAGGGATATGGTACTTTAAAATTGTGAATTTCTCTGAATTTACAAATTCTTGGAAACATTTACACAATTTAAATAAATATTTAACACTGTGCAAGTGTTTTTGGGATATTTTGCTACAAAATTCTTAAATATTGTACCTTTAATGTATTTATACATGAAAATATATAATAATATGTATGCCTTTTAAACTTTAGGATTGGGGTCCCACTCAAGAGGATGATAATATTTGGTCAAAAGAATGAAAACACCTGACATTGATTGTGGGTTTGATAGCCCAGTATGTATTTTCATGATCTGAGAAGTATTTAATTGCATGCATATTTTCCAGTGTCGAATGATTGCACAGTGAAAATAGCAAAATAATGTCTCTTTTTCTGATAGCATGTGGTTCATGTAGTAGAGCGCTGCATATCCCCAAAATATGGCTGTTATGTGAGTCATGAATAAAGGCAGCTGTGCAGTTGTTTGCTATATTTAAACATTTTCTTCATTGACTTTCTGGGCCGTCAAGAGCCAGTCCCTTGGGCAGCCAATGTGGTAGTTATACAGCTCTCAAATTTAATCAAAAATATCTTCATTGGTGTTCCGAAGATGAACGAAGGTTGGTACAGCATGGGGGTGAGTAATTAATGACTTAATTTTCATTTTTGGGTGAACTAACCCTTTAAATGTTTCATGTTTACTTGATACATTTCTTTGTAGATGGATGGTCTTTTAAATTTGGAAAGATTGTGTTCCTCATGTGCATTGGCAGTGTTTTGTAAAACTGTTTTACTGTGATGCAGTATTTTATTATTTCAATTTGCAGTGTTGCAAATTACACTTACAGTTTTATAACAGTTTGTAAGTGTACTTGTTGCCTCCAACAAGAATAAATGTTTTGTTAACATTGACTCACTGTTTTCAGTTTTTGACTTAAGCAATGTTATTTTAGTTTCCAGTCGTAACGTATTATTACTTAGTACCAATTTCCAATAGGATTTTTTTGTTCACTCAACAAAAGACATTGAGTTCTACAGACCAAAAATGTTGAATTGGCTCAACTTAAAAAGTTTTGTTAAAAAATAGTTGCACCTCTCCACAAAACCAACAATCTTAAGTTGACACAATTAAATATTTTTTGTGTGAGTGACAACTTAATTTCAGTTAGTATAACTATTATTTACAAAAGTTGAGTAAACAAAAAAAAACTGAAGGAAATTGGTACTAAGATTTTTTTTGTTGTACTGGCTTACAATTTTTTACAGTGAGTTATTAGAGGAAAACAGTTTTGGAACAGGCTGGGTAAGACCAAGTGCTCAAGACTGTGATTTCTGACCTTATCTGTCTGGGATCCAAGGAAACACGCACCAACCGAAACATTGATACATTTTATCATGCTCAAATCATGGGTGACTGCAAAATGTCCAATGAAGCACAACATTATACAGCTAAATCTTCAGTCAAGGATCAGTTCTACGAATGTTTAGTGATTGTTTGGTTGGTGTCCTCTACTGATGTAGAGCTCTGACTCATGCTGAATATAATTATATGAATGTTGATGATGTGAACAACACAGCACAACTTTAAAGCTAAGCTCTTTAAACTTTAGCATGACCAAGTTACCACATTTAAGCTCTGGGAACAAATATCTTATATTAAAAACTAGAGCTGTTATGGAAAATAATATGTGTATGTTCAGTATTGTATTACACATTGTTTGTATTTATGAAAATAATATTTGTTTGCAGACACTAGGTCTCAAATCGTTCATGATTTTATTCATTTTATTTAAACACATAGATTTTGTTATTACTAATGCATAGAGCTAAGAGAACTAAAAGCCTAAAAGCTAAGAACCAAACAGCCTATACGTCAAAATCTTTTAAAAATAGTTTCGATATATAGTCTTTGATAATAGCCGTCATAAAATGAGGTTGCATAATAAACCATGCGCCAATCGAATTGAGGCTATGATAAATTCTGATAGGCTAGGTGGTTTTCATAGTTGAACCATGATAGTGATTTTGCCCGTTTCACCTATAAAATGGAAATGCTGACTTTAAAATAAAAAGATCAGAGTAATAAATAATTTAAAAAATAACATTAATTCAATTCATTAAAAATGAATGTTGTACAGCTATAAATTGAATTAGGACTAAATGTTGTTTCAAATGAACCATTTAAGAGGGTTTTGGCATCACAAAACGCGTTCAGCGATGCTCCATTGAACATTTACTAAAACAAAATTAGCCTTTTTGCCTCGTTCAGGAGAATCAAATCAGTGTGAACTGTGAACAGTATTGCATTCAGGAAGCATTTCGGGAGCTGATATAGCACAGGGACAAACATAATTGATTTTCTCAAGTAAATGTGTCTATTGACAAAAAAAAAAAAAAAAAAAAAAAAATACATAGGGACAAGTTAAATGATACATTTTAGCAATGCCGCACTTCCCACACACATCGTCTTGGATAGTAAGTGTTGTATCTCCCTCTAGTGGTGTAATATGGTAACAACAGAGAAGACCAACTCCACCCCATTGTGAAAATCAAAATGGCCAGACAGTACCCTTTGAGGTGTTTGGAACTGTAAGGGGACAGCTACAAAACACACTCTGGCTGCATGGAGACTCCCGATAGTGAACCGCTTTAAAACAAATACATTTGTGTCGTTTTATATGTGCATTTTGAGCGCAGTGGTGTTCAAAATAAGGTAAAGAACCCTTTGCCTTTGCTGAATCACTCCGGAATAATATTTAGTTGGCGCACTGGTACTCACACACGTGGGTTGTCTGAGTGTGTTTTGGTGGTGGAAAAGCTCCTCAAAACCACTGTTGGTACAGTTTGGACCATGTTAAAATCCAAAACATTTGTGAAGAAGACCCGCTCTGGTGGAGTGTTGAAAATAGTGCGCGAACATTACCTCCGAGATGACATCTGGTGTGGAAGTGAAGTTTGTAAGGAGTGCAAAGATGAAGCTCCAGTGCTACAAGAGGACGCGTGCATAGAGAGTAACCTGTGCTCGTATCCTCACTATTTAATCCCAGACACCAATGTGGTTTTACATCAGGTACATTTTCCCTCATTTTAATCTCTTTTCATTTTTTTTTCCTTTCAATTCGCTGTTAACAATAACATACATTTTTATTTGTTTTCGTAATCAATCAACTGTCATATCAGCATGTTATAAGACCAGATTCTAACATGCTTGTTTAGGTCAGTTTGAGTGTGTGCCATAACATGAAGCACCAAAGAAACATAAGCTATGGCACGTGGGTTGTCTGTTCAGTTCTTGGCATTCTTAGTATTGGTTATCCCTAAAAAATCGTTATATCATAACTACAAACCTAAGCATCTTGCAATTGTAAAGTTCATGTCGCTTTGGATAAAATAATTTGTAAAGCAATACAAGGTAACGCAGGTGAATGGAAAAGAAAATACCGTGTATCACCATATTTTCCAACTTGATTATTAACAATATACAAAAAAAATTAGTTTTCTGAAATGTAATTTAAAAATGCAATGTCACATCTGATTAAATATGCACTGATTTGCATACATTTGTAGAACTAGAAGTATATTTGAATGAAGCCAGGTTCTAAAATATAATTTTTTTTTTAGGATATTTTCGTCACTCATATATAATAAATATATATATATATATATACATACATACACTCATATATGGTGTATATATATATATATATATATATATGTGTGTGTGTCTGTGTGTGTATATATATATATATATATATATATACATATATATATATTTATATATACATACACACACACTACCGGTTCAAAAGTTTTAGTTCAGTCTCTTCTGCTCACCAAGGCTGCTTTATTTGATGTAAAAAAAAAAATGACAAACAGCAATATTGTGAAATATTATGACAATTTATTTAAAATGATTTTTTTCTATTTTAATATATTTTAAAATCTAATTTGAAAGCTGAATTTTCAATATCAGTACTGTTGCTAATTACACATCAGTTTTCAGTGTCACATGATCCTTCAGAAATCATTCTAATATGCTGATTTTATGCTCAAAAAACATAAATTATTATTTTCAATGTTGAAAACAGTCGTGTACCATTTCCCCCCACCAAAATTCTATGATAAATAGAAAGTTCAAAAGAACAGCATTTTTAAAAAAAATATAATCTTTTCTAACATTATAAATGTTTTTACTGTAACTTTTGATCAATTTAACTCATCCTTGATGAATAAAAGTATTTTCTAATTTCTTTCCCCCAAAAATAAAAAATAAATTCTTACTGACCCCAAACTTTTGAATGGTAGTGATTTAATGTTACAAAAGCTTTCCATTTCAGATCAATTCTGTTCTTTTGAACGTTCTATTCATCAAAGAATCCTTAAATAAAAATGTAAAAAACAGTTTTCAACATGGATAATTATCATAAATGTTTCTTGAGCATCATATTATAATAATTTCTGTAGGACCGTATGGCACTGAAGACTGGAGTAATGATGCTGTAAATTCAGCTTTGATCACAGGAATAAATTACACTTCACTATATATTCACATAGAAAACCGCTGTTTTAAATTGTGATAATATTTCACAATATTGCTGTTTTTTTTTTTGCAGCCTTGGTGAGCAGAAGAGACTTCTTTTAAAAACATTAAAAAAAATCTTACCGATCTAAAACTTTTGACCGGTAGTGTAGTCGTGTATATATAAAATGTCAACAGCTATTACCATATTTCTAGGAATAAGAGGTTATACAAACCAGGCGAATGATGTATGAACAAATCCCTCTGTAAAAATTCCAGAATACATATGGGAATAAAACTAATGTATTTGGTGTATTTAAGTGCCACTGAAGTGGATGTTTTTTTTTTGTATGTTTTCTTTCCACTAGTCTGAAAAAAATACATTTTATGAGGCAAAATAGCCCAACATCTCAAAAGGCATGAAACAAACAATGGTTTTGCTTGTAATGTCTTGCCTTAAATGAGACTTAAGTGATTTGGTGTTCAATTCTGACAGCTTGACATCCTCGTGGACCCTCTGATCAGGAACGTCATCATTCTTCAGACCGTTTTACAAGAGGTCAGACACAGGAGCGCCACGGTCTACAAAAGAATCAAGGACGCTATTCATGAGAAGGATAAGCACTTCTACACCTTCACTAATGAGCATCACAGGTAACACATTCTGACATGCTTTTGATTTAACTTGACTACATTTCTGAATACATCTGTCTCACAACTCTCATTGATTAAAGGGAGACATTCGTTGAACGAGAGCAAGGGGAAAGTGCTAACGATCGTAATGATCGAGCCATCCGTGTCGCTGCTAAGTGGTACGCTGATCACCTGGCTAAAGTGGCCGATGGTGGTCTACTGAAAGTGGTTCTGCTGACCAATGACCGGGCTAATAAAGAAAAGGCAGAGCAGTGTGGTCTGATTGTGTACAAATGTAAGACACTCATTTTCTTTTGTAATGTTCTTGATGTCATTGTGGCAAGTACTGTCTTTATTATGGCTAGTTTAGGGTTAGTTTGAATTTAATTGTTTGTGTTAATCTAATGGTTTTGGGAGGATGTGTTTTCTCCATAAAAAAAGTAAAAGTAAAGTTTCTGTTCTATAAATTCTAAAATAAATTCTATTCTTTTGAAATGTTTATTTGTCAAAGAATCCTGAAAAAAGGTAGAAAAAAAGTATCACTGTTTCCACAAAAATATTGAGCAGCTGTTAAAGCTAAGCTGGGCAATTTCTGGAGAGGTTAGCAATAGCCAGCTAGCTTTGTAAACATAAGATCCCACCCTCCCATCAGAGAGTCTCTAAAGCCACGCCTCCTCAAAAACACATGAAGGCACAGAGCAGAGTCTGCAAAGCGTCACGAGAGACGGTGTTAAATGACCTCATGTCTCAAACCAGCATTTAACATTGCAGTGATAATGAATGTAAACAACTTGCAGAGTCTGACTTGTACCAAAATCCCTCTAAAGGAGAGTCTGTTCACTCGGCGGCCATCTTTGGCGGCCTCCAGGCAGTTATTTCGGACATCCTATCTATTTGAATGGGGGAATCATGAAGTCTCAAAAACTGCTGGCCGAATTCAAAATTCAATAACATATTTCAAATCAGCAACAAAATCTTACCTGAACTGTCTCATAAATGTTGTTTCTTATGCTTAAATAGCGTTACAAACGCACCGTTTTCAGGTCTAGACGAGCCAGTGCGCATGTGCAGTCCTAAGCGCGAATCTCGGGTTATTATGGAAACTGGAGCTTCTAACGGCAGCTGTTAAAAGTAAAACTCTTTTACTTAAAAGTAACGATGCTAAAAATTCAGCTTTGCTATCACAGGAATAAATTACTTCTTTAAAATATATTAAAGTAGTCTATTTTTACTGTATTTAAATTAAATAAATGCAGCCATAGTGACTTTCAAAAACAATAAAAAAACATCTTGCAAACCCAAACTTTTGAACGGTAGTGTAAAAATCGTATTAATTTATAATCAGCAAATTTTAATTGACAGCCTCAATCTTCATGTAACGATATTTGCATAATTGTTACAGTTAAGATTTAAAAATGAATGCAGGTTTTATTTCTATATTCTTTTCTCATGTAGGTGAAGAGTATATAAAGAGCTTGATTGGCAATCCTGAGCTTGTGGACAGGCTTGCATTGACGGCTGATGATCAAGTGCGTACAATGTGATGAAAAATGATCAAGAAAGCTTTTTGTTTTTTCTTATAATATATATTCTCAATATAAAAAGTTTTATATAGTGACTTCTCTTTTTTTATGATTCTCTATAGAATGAAAACACTGGCAGTAAGTTACTCTTTCCAGAGCACCTGCCCTTATCCAGGATTCAGACTGGCATTAAGAACGGAACGTTTCTTCAGGGCACATTTCATGCCAACAGAGATAACTATCTGGAGGGTACAGTCTTTATACATCGAGAGGGGGCGGATATCAATGAGGTAGGCAGGTTATCATGAAGAAAGACAAGCTATTGATTATTTTTCTGAAATTCATTATTAATGTATTTCTAGTCATTTTTGCTGTATTTTTAAAGTCCCTGTAGTTTGTCATACCACAGAAAAATGTGTTATTAGCCACCCAGCCAAATTTGAATGATAAAAAAAGCCGAGAAGTACATAAAATAAGCTATCAAAATCATGAAAAAATGAGCAGATTCTCTGCTCTCAAACGCTGGGGGCGTGTCCGCCGACTGCGTGGAAACCACGCCCACTCACGGGAAAGCTGTTGACGTGATATTAGCTGATTAGCTTTTGGAGACGGAAGGATGAACACTGAGGCGGGACATCGTCGTTTCGGCCCTGTTCACCAGTAACAGCGGATTATCAGTGAATTATCAGTGAATCCAAGTTGTCTCAGAGGAAAGTTTATAAAACGATCCAGTGTAAAACGATCACTACAGAGGCGGGTGTTGGCGGTGATCCTCAAATCTTCATCAAGGTATAGGCTCTCTAAAAACCTCTTCTTGATGTGATCGTTTTTATGGGAATTTAAATGAAGATACCGATCTGTTTTGTACATGATCGCATCCAGGTAGTAGCCCATGCATGTCCATGTCGAAGACATAGCTAGCTAGAAAACTGTAGGCTCAGCTGTAGTAACTAATAGTACTGACAGTCACTCGCGATTGAGCGGTGAATGCGAATGTGCTCGGGGAGTGTGTGTGGAGAGAGGGAGATCAGACTCTGTGCGTCATCAAATAGGGGGGTGTCCAGCAGCTCATGGGTTCCACTCCATTGCGTCACGGAGCCCTGTTTTAGCCCCGCCCAATTAATCTGTAAAATTGCAATGGTGAAAAACTGTTTAACGGTCTAACTCCACATTTCAGTACTTCACAGTTCACAGACTTTGTAATGTGTTTTAGCAATACATATGCAACATTTATAATGTGTTTAGAACTTTTTTGTAGAATTGCCTTTACAGGGACTTTAAGAACATTTTGTAACATTGTATGTTCTTGCAGGTTCTACTTCGAGGCTTTCAGAACTTAAACCGGGCTGTGCATCAGGATGTAGTGGCTGTTGAACTCCTACCCAAAGAACACTGGGTTGCTCCATCATCTGTTGTGCTGCTGGATGATAGTCCAAATGATGAAGATGCTGAGGAAGATGAGACTGAGAATAAGGTAGGATAAGTCCCATAAGATCAACAGTTCATATAATTACTAGAATCCACCGAAAGACACTGTGTAGTTGAATCTGAACCCTTTATTTCAATAATGTATTATGGGTTTATATATTGTTGTTAGGGATGAACCGGTATGAACATTTTGACCGATAAACCTTTATATTTGAAAACCAACAACTGATAGATTGGCCGATAAATCTAAATGCAAATTTTGATGTAATTTGACAGCATGATTACAAATACAAAAGTCATGGTTAAAAAAAGCCATGTCCCAAGCACACAATTACAATTTTATAATTTTCTCATTGCAATTTTATGTAGCCTACAACTGTTTTTATTTTCCTTTTCAAGTCAAGTGATTCCAATCATATTCACCAATTCAAAACCATCATGTTTGCATCTGAACTGTCTCACCTGAGGGAAATAAATAAATTATTTTTCAGCTTTAATATATTGGCCAAGTTGTCTTACTGGGCCGATAACAATAACATTAAACACTAACATATATATCGGCCGATGCCGATATATTGTGCATCCCTAAATTCTGTGACCTGGATGACACCTTTGTAATGTGTGTAGTGACTCTTTGCTGTTGTGTTGTAGTTGAAGAGTGAAGCATCGGAGCTTAGCGCTCTTAAACCCACTGGACGAGTGGTGGGCATTATAAAGAGGAACTGGAGGCCTTTCTGTGGTATGCTCTCACAGTCACAGATCAAAGAGGTAACACTGATCGCCATATTACAATGATTTCTGAAAGATCATGTGACACTGAAGACAGGAGTAATGATGCTGAAAACTCAGCTTTGCCAAAGACATGAAATATATTAAAATGGAAAACAATTGTTTTTAACTGTAAAAATATTTCACAGTATTAGTTTTTACTTTTTGTTTGTTAAAATAAATCGGTAAGCATAATAGACTTCTTTCTTAAGCTTTTTTTAAGTGATTAGTGTAAACTGATCTAATGAAGTTTTGAAATGTGGTGGCAGAATTAGTTTGCTTATTGAATGGAAATCTTATTCTGAACAGATAAATGCATACTACAGTGTGCTCATATAGTCACTGTATTTTGATCAATATTACATGACTGCTTACAAAGAGAATTAGCTTTTTTTTACTTTTTTTATTTGTTTATTTTTATAAAGAATCTCTTTTTCCAGATGCATTGCATTAATTAACTATTTTGAACTTCAACACCAGGCAACAAGACACCTTTTCACCCCAGCAGACCGACGAATCCCACGTATTCGAATCGAGACTAGACAAGCCGCGACTCTGGTTGGACGGAGGATTATGGTTGCTATAGATGGCTGGCCTAAAAACTCCAGATACCCAAACGTAAGTGTCAGTCATTTACACTCTTCACTTTATACACATAATGGCATGCTGGTTTGACTCGAGTTTTAGGCAACAGATTTCCATCAGAGATGCATTTTTATAGTATTTTGATGCAAGCGTGCATTTACTGTAGGATCATCAATCCTGCATATTGTGTATTAATATCCACTTTTTTTGCATCTTTACACAGACTGTTTTAAATGAATGGTTAAACATAGCTTGAGTCTGGAAGCCTGGATGTTAAAATTCCACTGATAATTTCAAAATCACTTTATATTATTTTTCTCCATGTCTCTCAGGGACACTTTGTTAAAAACTTGGGTACTGCAGGAGATAAAGAGACCGAGACCGAGGTGCTTCTCCTAGAACATGATGTTCCTCACCAGCCTTTCTCTCAGGCTGTTCTTAGCTTCCTTCCCAAGATGCCCTGGAGTATTTCTGAGGAGGTAGGGCAGTCATGCATTGTTGTGTCAGAATGTTTCATTATTACTCTGGAAATGCTCAAGGCTTGGGGCCTCATGTATAAACGTTGCGTACGCACAAAATGGGCATAGAAATATGCGTACGCATTTTTCCACGCGCACATCGGGATTTATAAAAAATAAACTTGGCGTAAATAAGTGCGCACCGTAAGGATGCTCTTGACCGTGCGTACGCACTCGTTTAGAAGATTATGGGTTTTGGCGACACCGATGGTGAGCTGGAGTCAAATGTCTTTTTGTTCACTATTAGACAGAGAATCTAAAGAAAATTATACATCTACAGAAAGATAATACAAATATAATTTCACAAACCTATCATCACTTGAAGCAATCCCTTCTTAAATGACCGTGCCAGCACGCGCGTTGGGCCGTTTAGTGAAACTGACGCACATATAGCCTATCTAACGGCAGATGGAGTAAAACCGTAAATCTTCATTATGAGTCCAAATCATAAATAGAGTGCATGTTCTCAATAATAGTTTAAATAAATAAGAGAATGGTTTAAACTTTGTTTTACTTCTGATATAAACATTTAGATTAAATATGCCATTCTCATTAATGGAGTTAAACTCTTAAACTGCATGCAATCATTACTGAGAAGTTACAATATATACAGTATATATATATATATATATATATATATATATTCAATAAATAGAAATAGACCTGTTTGTTGTGGATGCATTGCTTTTGAACACCTTTCTTCTGGCATGCTGTGTTTTAATGTTTTAACTAGAGATTGTCTGAGAAAACTGTTTCGTGTAAATAATGCACAACCATGTCTATCTCTTTCCATTAAAATATAAATCAATTAAAAATACTATTTGGCCAGTGGAAAAGATTAGAAAAACTTTATCTGAAATGTATTTAACACTATTTGATTTATTCATTCAAAAACAAGGCAAGGATAGGCTACTAAAAAAAATGTTTGTAATAATGTGACGGCACATCCGCATTTCATATTTTCCTAACGTCTTGTACCGTTAAACTTGGTATCACGTGGATGAATAATCATATGCAAATGATATGCAGATGAGGATATGCATATTTAAACTAGGCGTTGTAATCTCCATATATGGTTATTTCTGGGAGGAGACGCACGTGCGCACAATCTCCCGTTGACTGGGATTTATAAAGTGAATTCTGCGCAGGTTCTGGCGTACGAACGGTTTTATAAATCTGAAAACTTTTATGCGTACGCAAATTCTGCCTTATGTGCGTACGCACACTTTAAGGATGAAATCTATGCAAAGTTTTATACATGAGGCCCCTGATGTTTATCTGTGATTTCCTACAGGAGTTAAAGGTCAGAGCAGATCTCAGACACCTCTCTGTGTGTAGTGTGGATCCTCCTGGCTGTACGGATATTGACGATGCTCTTCACTGTCGGGAACTGGAGAATGGAAACTTGGAGGTATGTGTGAAGTATTTTGAAAGGTAAAGGGAATGTAGTAGTGTTCTTCCTTTGGGGTTTTGTATTGAATGGCATGCTTTTCTTTTAGGTTGGCGTTCACATAGCAGATGTCAGCCATTTTATACGGCCAGGAAATGCACTAGATCAAGAGGCAGCAAGCCGAGGCACTACAGTCTACCTTTGTGGAAAGGTACTTGTGTGTGGAAAAAACATTATGGATTGGTTGGGTCAAAAGCTTTAAAGGGTTAGTTCACCCAAAAATGAAAATTCTGTCAGTATTTACTCACCCTCATGTTGTTCCAACCCTGTAAGACCTTTGTTCATCTTCGGAACACAAATTAAGATATTTAAGATATTAAGATCGCTCCTGCATACAGTCCATAGGCTTCTTGAGGGACTGGCTCTTGCTGTCCCCGAAAAGTCATTAAAGACATCGTTAAAATAGTCCAAGTGACTACAGGGGCTCAATCTTAAGTTTATCAAACGACGAGAACACTTTTGTGCGCAAAAAAAACAACAAAAATAACGACTTTATTTCAACTATTCACTTCCTTCTCCATGAGCCTGTAAGTCAGTTAACGTAGTGTGATTGCGTAGAGCTACGTCACACGTAGGCTCACTATTGGCCGACGCTGGTCATGTGTGTGTGATGCGTGTGACGTACAATAACAGAAGCTTACGCTATTAAACTAGTAACCTGACTCGCGCAGAGGGAGAAATAAACGAATAGTTGAAATAAAGTCGTTATTTTTGTTGTTTTTTTGCGCACAAAAGTGTTCTCGTCGTTTGATAAACTTAAGATTGAGCCCCTATAGTCACTTGGACTATTTTAACGATGTCTTTAATGACTTTTCGAGGACAGCAAGAGCCAGTCCCTCAAGAAGCCTATGGACTGTATGCAGGAGCGATCTTAATTTCTTAAATATCTTAATTTGTGTTCCGAAGATGAACGAAGGTCTTACGGGGTTGGAACAACATGAGGGTGAGTAAATACTGACAGAATTTTCATTTTTGGGTGAACTAACCCTTTAACAAGAAATACTCCTTTTTAGGGTTGGGCATCGCTTTGATTTGAACGATTCTGATACCGATTCCGATTCTTCCTTTTGATTTCGGTTATTTTCGATTCTCGATTCCGATTCTTTGAGGGGTGGAGTCAAAACATGTCACAGGCTCACTTCACAGAGGAACATTTTATTTTGATTCAACGAGTTGTAGTTTTGTATTTAAATATTTAACGCAATTACGCAGTATCCGTTAAGTCCTGCCTGCCTATTACACACACACACACACATGACCCACATAAAAGATGCACGTCAGTATCGATTTCACTTTCGGGCTTGAACAAACATAACACACACAAATTATGCCAAAATGTCAGTTTTGTGTTTTCAGCTTATGAATGCTCAACGGCTGTCTGAATTTGCTCACTCGTTTTCATTCACTCATTTACTTATGGCTTGTTTCCACTGAGTGGTACGGTACCCACTTTTTGGGTACCCTTCCGTTGGGGTACCTAGCACAGTGAAAGGGTACTAAAAGGTGGAGCTAGACTCACTGCAGAACGCTGATTGGTGGACAAAGTGTCGTCACTCGCGCGTGCTACAAGGGCATTAGAAGCATACAGTTGAAATATAATACTACTGTTATTGTGTCACGAAATGTAGTTTTAAGAGTTTTTCAGGGGGAAAAAGTAGTTTTTTAAAGCTCAAATCTGTGGTTTATTTATAGATTTATGATCATTTGACTGAGATCCATTCCAAGCGATCACTGGACGCTCGCGCTCGTGTCCCCCGCCTGGAACAGCCTTTCCTCGGCTAGTCATCCTGATGTTTGCCACTGACTCGGACGTTTCTGTAGTGGTTAAACATGAGATATAGTTTGTCTTGTATAAACCTAACAGGTGATCTTTGGTCTTGTGAATCTATAATTCGTTCCCTGGCCAATAGTTTTGGCAGAAGGCTACATGAAGTTTCATATTTGAGCGCTGAATTATTCGACTGACTGAATTGTTTCTTGATGTTATTTAAGCTTTACTGTATATCTTTTTGTACCTTTTACTTATACTTTTATAATGGCTATTATTGATAAAACTGAAATTCAACAAAAAGAGATAGTTTTGTCATTTTTATTTTATTTTATTACAAGATCATCTGTAGCCTATGTTGTTTATTGCAACATTTGTACTAATGCGATATGCAATAGCCTACATTACATTACATGTGTATATGTATATTGCCTGGAATATGTTTAATATTTTTAAATTTAAACGAAAAGAGGCAGGGTTGTTTTATATTTAGTTTTGTTATAAATATAGGCTAACGTTACATAGACTACATGCAGTGATAATCAATAGGCTATGCGTTGCCTGAACCACATGTGCGAATGTTTACAAAGTATTGAAATGAAATCGAAAAAGAAGCAGAGTGGTGTTTTATAACATATTTCATTTTATTGTTGCCTAAAATGAACATACAGAGATAACCGGAGCCGCATAGTCAGAGCGAGCAGAGTGCCGCGTTCAAGAACGCGCTGTTCCATTAGCAGAATTACTGGATCGCGTCCTTGGGATTCTCCTGAGTCGGACTTTGCGTTGGCTTCTTGGAAACGACCCATATGCCAGCGCTTGTTTCTAGTGACAAACATGCCGAGAAGCAAGAACAAAATCTGCTGTCTGTCGCTTTCTTCGCGCGAAAATGACGTTGATCGCTTCTTTCCAGCATACCACGCCTATCAAGTAAGGGTACTGTTGGCGGTGGAAACGCAAGCCTGATCATGGTGTACCCGACCCGTACTGTACTGTACTGTACCGTACCGTACCGTACCCCTCAGTGGAAACGAGCCATTAGTGAACAGTAGCCTATTAGTGGACTAACGTAGGGAATAGGCCTAATTTAGTGAATGAGGGTTTAGAGGGCGATTTCATATTCAACCAGTAAAAAATAGAGGACACTGACAACACGCTGACAAACAGGACCGAGCAGGTAATATTTAATATGAAACAAAGTCTCAACTTTAAAATGTGGTCAGTCAAAAGAAAATTAAACAATAGGCCTACCGTTTGTGGCTTTTTGATTGATTTTCTCAGTTAAAGCCAAGTTCAAATCCACGACGTTAATCTACTAACTCTCATGACTGCTTTGTTGGACACAAATGGTGGATTGGTCAGCATGTCAATCAAACCCCCTGCTAAATATGAATTTACGCTAATTTAAAAGTGAAATGCACACTGCTGCACCAGCTTTTTATAAGCGATGTAAAAAAAGAATTCGTTTTCAAATTAGCGCCAATTCAAGGCACAGTAACAACAGTGCTGCTCCGCAAAGACCACACCAATATACATGCCCATGCAAATGTGCGCACTTCCAGAAATCCGGTGGCCACTATGGACCAAAACTTGCACATTTGGAACCGATGATCGGAATCGAAAACGAATTTTCTAAACGATTCCAATGGCATTGTTATTTTTTGAACGGTTCCAAGTTGGAACCGGTTCTCGATGCCCAACCCTACTCATTTTAAATTAGCCTTTTGTTTAGTATAACTATAGATTAATTATAAGGTTATGTGCCATTTTTAATAATAAATGAATACTTTTATTCAGAAAGGGTGCTATAAATTGATTAAAAAATGACAGTAAAGACCTTTATATTGTTACATAAAAGATATTTTAAATGTTTTAAATTTCTACTTATCAAAGAATTCTGAAAGAAATGTATCAGTTTACACAAAATATTAAGCAGCAGAACTGTTTTTAACTTTTAATAAAAGGAGGTTATTTTAAATTGTAATAATAATTAATATTATTACTATGTTTTACTGTATATTTTTATCAAATAAATACAGCCTTGGTGAAGCATGAGACTTTAAAAAAAAAATCGTACCAACCCCAAACTTTTTAATGGTACTGTAGGATTAATCTTTTAGTGTTTTGTGCATATTACTTTATTATTTTTTGTGATAAATAGTCATTCCTTTCCACAGAGAATTGACATGGTTCCTGAACTTCTGAGTTCCAACTTGTGCTCTCTGCGGTCCAATGTTGAGAGGTGTGCTTGCTATGAAACCATTATCCTCTATGTGATTATGCTTTGTAAACTATTATATATTTAAATATCAAATATGCTTTAACTTTCACTGTCTAATATGTACTTTCACTCTAAGGTTAGCATTTTCTTGTATTTGGGAGATGAACCACAAAGCTGAAATCATCAAAACTCACTTCACAAAGAGCATCATTAACTCCAAGGTATGCTCTAATTTAAAAAAATGTTATTTAAAACTATGTTCTATAATGGTCTTCAAGGAAGTGTTGTTTTGTCTTGTAAGGCCTCCCTTACATATGCCGAAGCTCAGATGAGGATCGATGACTCCACCATGGATGATGACATTACAAAGAGTCTGCGGGGCCTTAATAAACTGGCCAAGATCCTAAAGGCCCAGAGGATTGACAAAGGGTATTTCCATTTAACTAGATCTGTCATTTTGAAACTCACCTATGATTCTGAAGCAGACTTTAACCCTTTGCATTGACAGTTTTTGTAAGGGATGCTTATTTTACCATTTTTCAGAGCACTGACCCTCTCCTCTCCTGAAGTACGTTTCCATATAGACAGTGAGACGCACGACCCCATAGATCTGCAGACCAAAGAACTGATGTGAGTTCCATATTCCTCTTTCTGCCTTTTTTCAGTCTTTTATAAAATGAAAAAACCATTGCACACCTGCAATTGCCTTTAAGTCTCTAGAATCTGCTATGTTTTCTTTTGTTAGTTTTTGTTAGTTACTTTTTACTGGCTTTGTCTGGATTCTGAAAGTTAAAATGGTTTGGCTTTGGTTACACTATTTTGAGTCCACTTTAAACATTCTACTAACTATAAGTAACTTTGCAATTACATGTCAACTAACTCTCATTCGAGTATTAGTAGACTGTTAGGTTAGGGTTCGAGCTAGTACAATAAGTTGACATAGTTGCAAAGTTACTTAAAGTCAGAATGTCTGAAGTGGACCATCAAAATAAAGTGTTCAATGACGTTTACGTGTTTCCCCAGGGAGACTAATTCTATGGTGGAGGAGTTCATGTTGTTGGCAAATATCTCTGTAGCGCAGAAGATCTATGATGAGTTCTCAGAATGTGCCCTACTCAGAAAACACCCTCCACCACCACCATCCAACTATGACATCCTCATCAAGGCTGCAAAGTCAAAGGTGAGTGAATGTTCTTCATATTATGTTTCTTCTTTATATAATCCAAAAAAAGTAAGGCTTCCAAAGTCATGGCAAAGTTACACACCTATACTCTTGCAGCTATCCTGTTATTAAACATTGAATGTATTTAGATTATGTTATATCTGCTATGTTTTCTTCTCAATAACAAATTTAACACACAACAAAAATGTCAGCAGTAAGCAAACTGCAGTAAAGAAGCATCTGAGCACAAGCACTACAATTCAGAACTCCAGTTAAATCATGTTTGTTTATTTTTTTATTTTTATCATTTATTTTTTTACCAAAAAGATTCATCAAGATTAAAGTCAGTGTATTTTTCTAGTTTGTTGCATGATTAAGGCTCTGATTTACTTGAAGTGAACTCAAAGAATGAACACATTTGAAAGTGATGCTCAGCATTCTTTTTCCATATAAACGTTGCACATGTTAAACATCTTCAAATTGCCAATGCTCCATGATGATTATTTAATATGTGGTGCTCTGGGGCTTCACCTACTTAGACATGGAAATCTTTTCAGTTTAATTTGTTAACTCGGTTGGTCGAGATTAGACACTGGGACAACAATTGCACTTAAAAAAACACTTAATTGCAGAGCTGGTGTAAACATACTCTCATCCCTATAATCAGATACTTGTTTAAATTTGTTCTCATTGCTGTCAATTTTGTTGAGCTATATTGAGAAGTTGCAAATACAAATCTAAAGGGCTCCGAGCATGGGCAGTGTCCTAATGTTTGCAAACAAAACAATATATCATTGCAAACCATTTCAAACTTGTTTTTATCCCTTAAAAACATTTTTTTTTTCCCTGTGAGTATATCAGGGTCTGTAAACAAGTAGGCGGAGAGCCTATATTAATATACACCATATAATATTAGTGTATATAATGTGTATTGTGTTAGTCAGGGCATCCCAAACTTTTTCATGATATGTACCATCTTGAAAGGTATATATTCATCTTACGTTTTAAATAAGTGCAGTATTTTGGTCGGTTTCATTGAAATTTTTGCCATGTTATTCCTTTTTTCCAGGACCTTGTCATCCATACAGATTCAGCTAAAGCGCTAGCCGATTCCCTGAACAATGCAACGATTGAGAACTTTCCATACTTCAACACTCTGCTGAGGATTCTGGCCACCCGCTGCATGATGCAGGCTGTGTATTTCTGCTCTGGCATGGACAATGATTTCCACCACTATGGCTTGGCATCGCCCATTTACACACACTTCACATCACCCATCAGAAGGTGAGACAAGCTAGTCCCTGTAAAATTGTTATATTCAATCAATTTAGAGGCATAGTCAAACCAAAAATGATTTACTTCCCCTCATTAGGGTTGTAACGGTATACCGGTATGACGGTTTATCGCGATATTGACATGTACGATTATCATATCGTGCACATTTGCTTATCCGCGGTAAAAAAAAAAAAAAAAAAAAAAGAATTCACCTGCACTGCCGCATGCAACTTCTTTCAGCTTGACTGCTTACTCCATATCCGTACAGCGCTGAAAATGTCCGAGACAGAGGCTGCGAATCTCTATCTCCCGCCAAAAATCTGCAGTATGGGAATATTTTGTAACTTATATCCGAAAAACGATCGTGATGTTGTCCTTGAAGATGGATATCCAGTTTGCAAGATATGTGGACGAAGAGTGGCTGCAAAAGGAGTAAACACGTCGAACATGTTCTCCCATATTTAGGAACACCATCCCTCCGTGAAGATAAAGGTTATTCATAACTTTTATAACTTAAGGCCATATTATTTCTGTCATGCTGAGGGAATCCCGGTCTGTCAAAAAGACGCACACATGCGTCTTTTTGCGTTACAAAACAGATGCCACGTAAAATGTGCGATTTAAAAAGATAGATGGATAAATAAAGCAAAATATAGCTATGCAGTAGCCTAAATCAAATCGCGATGTGCGCGTCTGTGAATATACAACGCAAAAAGACTGGTGTGCAAGCCCCTTCAGCGTGTCTCTGAATGAGCAGCGCCGTTTCGTCTAGTAGATCTAGTACACACTCAAGTACGCATGACGCTCATGGTTTTTAAAGCTGTCTCAGCCACTACGAAGACGTGAACACATGAACATATCTAGACAGAGAACACTTAATGTGCACTTTATAATTATTTTTTTAAAGAATAATCATCAAATACACTGACTGAAACTCATAGGTGTTCAGTAGGTGTTAACGCGGGGTTAAATGTAACACGGACCGTTTACACAGTTCGTCAGGATCAAGCCGGCCGTCTTTCCGCTATTTTTCTCTTGCTGCCAGAAGACGGTCTCCCGCGAATTTGCGGAAAGTTTTGATTATATTTCGTCAAGATACTGGACAAAGAGTGTTTTGACACCATGAAAGTAATTTTTTTCATCATAGGTTTTTTTCGGTTTCTGAGTTGGGTGTATACGTTTCCAAATCTAACTTTATATTGCCTTAATCACCGTCTTGTTGGCTCAAACATAGCACCGTTTTGAAACATGTCAGCAATTCCTGGCGACTGTTAGCTAGGTTTAAAATATGTAATACACAGCGGGGTTAATTCTAACAGAGTGGTACAACTAAGCCTCCAAGTGTACAATGATAATCAAATGAAAACGGAGCCACACAACTTTTCAGGTTTGAGTATACATTTAACTTTGTTAGACGTTCACAAACAATGTTGGGATTTAAAATGTTTAAAATTTAGTGTTCTATGAATGATAACTTGTTTATTTATTAAAAATATGGCCTGTTATTAATGCAATAAACCCTTTAAATTTTTATTTTAAGCTAATTTGTATTATCATTACTGTTATTATTAATAATAATAATAATTGTACATCATGCAGCTGCCACACACAAATCTAATTTAATTGCAATTACAATATTTATAATTTTATTTATTATTATTTATTGCAAAACTATGCCCTTTTCTATGTCTCTATCCATGATATTGATCCATAATAGAAGGATGATTGGATGAGGGATATGTATGGATATCTGTCTATACAGATGCACAAACAATATCAAACTATACAAATAAAATAGTACTGAATTATGTGTGTTACACACAAGTGTTACAACTAACCCCTCTCTCTGTTACAATTAACCCCGCATATGGGGTAAGTTGTAACATTTGCACTTCTGTCACTTTCAGTCCAACTGTACGAAAATGGTAGGTCCTAGAAAAAAACTTTAAGTGTTCATTTGTAGCAGAGATGTGCATGTTGCTTGTGTAAAAAAAAGTATTAATCTAACCTAATTATTTTTTAATTAATTGAGCCAAAAGCAAAAAGCGTTAGGTTGTGCCCCGCTCTCCCCTACAACCTGGGAAAAAAAAGTTTGGTTTAGCCTATGATTAAAATATATTACTATTGTGTATAGTTTTTTTGTCCATGTTTTAATTTATTAAACTTCTCATGTGTAGACAAACTCAAGTTGTTACATTTTATCTGATTGCATTCTCAAAAATACATTTTGTATTCAATCACAGAATCCAGATCAGTTATTTCAGACAACCCAGAATTTCTGAGGAAATAAATATACATTTCATAAAGACTCTATTGAAAAAACCTTTGTTACAATAAACCATGTTCAACCAAAAACAATATCTGTTTTTATTCATTTAAGGGCCATTGTAGCTGATGCTGATTATAATAATGATAGTTTTAATATCGTATACCGTGAAACCGTGAAACCGTGATATTTTCTGAGACGATTATCATACCGTGAAAATCTCATACCGTTGCAACCCTACCCCTCATGCCATCCTAGAGATGTATACCTTTCTTTCTTCAGTTGAACACATTGACTGTAATCCATACCATCCCAGTGGATAAATTTGTGTCCGCTGAAGCAAAACAATAGGTCTTTGTATAAAAATACAAATATTGTAAACTTATTTTGATTAGAGACAATTGCTGCTGACAAACTGTCATACTTGCATTCAGTTAACCCTTGACGTAACCTAAGCATGTTGTGAAGTGGGACATTACACAGAAGCACAGAGGACCAGTGCTTAAACACACTTTCAAAAGCAACCTTGACCCTCTCATCAAACCAAGCATGACAGTTGGCAGGAAGTGAAGGTTTATAGTTAAAAGGTTAGCTCACCCAAACATGGAAAATCTGTCATCATATTATATATAATATCATTAATATCATCATAATTCCTATTAATGAAATCTAAAAAAGACATTAAAGGGATAATATGTATGATTTTTGCAGTTAAATATCCAAAAACCATGTTATACATTTTGTTTAGTTGATTACTTAAAATCAGGGGCGTAGCCAGAATTTTATTTTGGGGGGGTCCCGTCTTTAAATGAGGGGGCAACATTATTTATATATATATCAAGTTGATCTTTCCGTGCTTTTTAAAAAAAGTGTAATATTGTACTTTGAGTTTGAGCGCCTGCCATTGTCACGGCATATTAACTCTCACGCAAAGATGAAGATGACAGCGTACGTTACGCGCAACACGTTATATAAACAAATCAAGTTTGAAAATAAGCCGCATTTTACCGCGCAGCATTTTGATTGGTCAATCTATCAATCCTAATAAAACAACTTTTTTTTTTTTTTAAGCAATCAGAAATCTGAGGGGACCGGACATGTAAATGAGGGGGCCTAGGCCCACCCAGGCCCCCTCGTGGCTACGCCACTGCTTAAAATATTCTAAATGTTTCCAACTATTTGTAAATTGTTAGAAAATTGCGATTTTTAACCAGGGACACAGAACGTGTGAGCAGGGGTGAGGAGTGGTCAGTCAATGGTAGCATATCCGCGTTACCCCCGGTTTCTACCAGGTTTGACTTCGTATTACCATAGTAACCTTGGCGACAGACGTTGATAAGTTGACAACTGGGTTATGCTGTTATTCCTAGCAGGACGCTCACGCTGTTGTTGTTTTGTTCAAACATTATGAAACCATGGCAAGCAGACTTTTGAGACAAAAAGAGGACTAAAACGAAGATCAACGTCTTTCGAGATGCCAAGAACTAGAGGGTGACACGGGAGTTGATTTTCAAACCTCTCCCGTCCCACTCCCACAAAAAAAAAACCCTGTCCCGTCCCACTCCAAATCCCACAAAAAAAAAAAACATCCAATCCTGTCCCAATCCCAGAAGAATGACTCCTATTCCCTCCCACTCCTGTGTTGTTGTTTTTTTGACCGGAATCTGTCACATTAAAAAAAAAACTAAAACTGGGTGTTTTGGATGACACGCGCACTCGCAAGGTCTCTCGCTCTCTTTCCCTCTCTGCCTTGTGTGCATGTGCGCCTTGCTAGGTGGTTTGAAGCACAATCTCTGTCTCGCGTGCACGCTCGCTCTAGATTCCAGGAGAATTTAACTAATTTGTGGCATAACTCGATCACGTGTGGCTCAACAGGTAGATAAATGGTAGATATATAAAAAACTCATCTTCCAGGCAATTGATCGACCAGGTTGACACTTCAGCGTGTGAAATCGGGGGTGTGGCTTGTGAGCTTGTGAAACCAATCAAATGCGGGTGTCACACGGCCAATATGCAAGAGAGTTGGCACTGGCAGCTATGTATATTACAGCCACCAACTGGTGTGGAGCACGTCATTCACTTTACCGGCCACACCAAAGCAAACAGGAGAGCATAAAGAGACGGGGCAAATATAATTTAGTTCAAAATGTATTTATAGAAACTGTATATTTGTGTATAAAGTTGGGTATCATAGCTTTATCACGATTCCTGGTCCTGCCCACTCCCGCTGAAATTTTTACCTTTCCCGTCCCAATCCCGTGATACATTATGATTTTGTTTCCCATTCAAAATATCAGCCTCTACCGAGAGCTCCACGACTAACTTCGACCTGACACAGTGTTCCATGTACTTTATTAGACAGGTGAGCAAATGTACATAAAACTAATCAATGTTATTTAGTTCAACATGAAATGTTAGAATATGATCTGTATGTACTTATCCTGCGTTCATGTGCTATGGTAATTATGGTAAATACCAAAAGCCGACGTGGAAAATGCACATGAACACACCCTCATGTGGTATTTTCCACTGGGCAACTCGTAGAATATTTTGATGGACGAGTTGCAAAAATGAGAACCTTTGATCTTTTCAAAATGGCGGAGAGCACCTCGAGAGTCGTGAATGGTAAAAATATATACTATTCATGATCTAGAAAATATACAGCATATTATTTACCTTTTGAGTTTTGATAAATCATTTTCTTGCTGTTGCAGATGACTTAAGCAATCTAAAATAGTTTTAGCTAAATTACAGGTCTGGATATACATCTTTTTACCACATTACGACAACAAAAGCACTTGAACGCAACACACTGGTAAATACCAGTTCACAAGTGGAAAATATCCTATTTTCCATAGCACGTGAACGCAGCATTAGTCTCACACAGCCAACACACAACCTACCTAACAACATTCAACACACTCAAATGCCGTTTAGTGTGATAGCGTAACTGTTAGAGCAAGTGAAACAGCACTGCGTTACCTCAAGTTTAATTCGTCTAATAAACTGTCCTGTGTGAGTAATTCAGCACTTGCGTGTAGTTCGGTTGAATGAAATGTCTTTATTCCTTGTATATCCACAGGACTCAAGTTGCATGTGGCGCTGGTATGCGTCCAGCAATCGCGCCCTCCTTCACACTAAAGTCATGTTAAAAACATTAATGTATTCACTCATCCATAAAAGATCCATCAGCTTGATGACAAGATCCATAATTCTGCTTAATGTGGAATATACGTCATCAATATATGTCTTTGTTATTGTAAGAGGTTAGAGACCCCTGGTGGCGAAAAATCCTGCATATTGGACCTTTAATGATATTTATGAAAGTTATGTTCCTGCATTGAAACACTGATGGTTCAAAACATTGGTAAAAAGATTGTGGAATGAATCCATAAATCAAGCAGTTTAATCTAATCTGTCTTCGACAGAGACCCAATCGCTTTGTATTATGATATTTAATTTAGGCTTGTAGTCGCATATAATTTTTGATAATTACACATACATCAAGTACAACAAGAACGGTCAGTAGCAACTCAGCCATAACTTGCTTGATGAACAAACCTCATTGGTCCTCACATCTCAAGCAAGCATGTTTGAGCTTCGGTTTGCTTAAATTTAATGTTCTCTATTTACGTATGTGCAATTAGTGCTGGGCGGTACACTGGTTCACGTTCACATCAGTGTTTATTGTTGTTATGAAATGAATGTTTAATATACTGCAATACCTGTGTATGACGCTTTAATAGGGACTTAAAGCAACAGCCTCTGGTTGAACGGCATTCTGGCGTTCTCTTGCACATGCGTGACATTATCTGCTACTTCGCAACTTTCTACTGTAACGTCTACTACGGGAGAACAGCTGATTTGCTGTAGTCGTTACTACGTGACAGATTAAGAAAATTAATGTTATGGTTTCTGTACATTAAATGTCAACATGAACCCTTCTCTTATTTTTTTAAATCACTTTCTTTTTTGTATTTTGTCTGATGATTAAAGTATCCCCTATGCCATCCTTTACTGTTGCTTAGTGATTTTTGCGCTCTTTAGCTACAGGAGTTAACAGTTTACTTCCGGCTGCCATTGCCGCATGGATTACCTTCATTATGAAGTACTTTTTTTCACCTATTCATAAATTGATCCTTCTTGACTGACCATTTATGGTTGTTTTTGATTTATTTTTTAGATACTCTGATATCATAGTTCACCGTCTGTTAGCGGTGGCTATTAATGCAGACAACACTTACCCAGATTTGATGGACAAGCATAAGCAGTCGGCCTTGTGCAGCAACCTCAACTACAGACACAAAATGGCCCAGTATGCACAGAGAGCCTCTGTGGGATTCCACACTCAGGTAAACTGCAAGCACTAACATCAACACATCTCAAAAAACCATGACTAATGATTTTTTTTAAACATCTTTCATCTTGTCTCTTCAGTTATTCTTCAAGAATAAAGGAATCATAAATGAGGAAGGCTTCATTCTGTTTGTTAGAAAAAATGCCATCATAATTCTCATTCCTAAATTTGGTTTGGAGGGCACTGTGTTCTTTGAGAACAAGGACAAACCCAGTCCTCATCTCAACTTTGACTCTGAGGTACGCATATATCTTGACATCATTAGGTGCAGCCCCATAACCAGGCTATGCTAGCCTTACAGGTTATATTCATGAAATATTACTTGATTCTATGAATGTTCTGAGGTTGAACTTGGTTTTTTTTTTTCTCCTCAGGGTCCAACTCTCAAAGTGGAAGAACACACTTTCCACATATTTGATAAAGTCAAAGTGACAATAAGCCTCGATGCTTCCAACATCCAGCATCAGAGGATCAGAATGGCACTCATTGAACCAGTGGTACGTTTTTGTTTTTGTTGAGAGACATTGCTAGCACATTACATTTACAGCTCAACATCAATTGCATTTTTACAATGTCCACAAAACTATAATTGACCAGTGTCAAATTGACCAAAGTCCTTCACTTCACTGAACAATCATAAACCCATTTTTCATGAGCTGAACTCAAAGATCTAAGACTTTTTCTATGTACACAAAATTCCTTTTTCTCCCAAATATTGTTCACAAATCTGTCTAAATTTGTGTTAGTGAGCACTTCTCCTTTGCAATCCATCCACCTCACAGGTGCGGCATATCAAGATGCTGATTAGACAGCATGCTTATTACACCGGTGTGCCTTACAATAAAAGGCCACTCTAAAATGTGTAGTTTTACCAAACAGCACAATGCCACAGATGTCCAGTTTTGAGGGAGTGTGTAATTGGCATGCTGACTGCAGGAACGTCCACCAGAGCTCTTGCCCGTGAATTGAGTGTTCATTTCTCTACCATAAGCCGTCTCCAAAGGTGTTTCAGAGAATTTGCCAGTACATCCAACCGGCCTCACAACTGCAGACCACGTGTACCCACACCAGCCCAGGACCTCCGCATCCACCATATTCACCTCCAAGATCCAAGTCTGAAACCAGACACCCGGACAGATGCTGCAACAATCGGCTTGCGTAACCAAATAATTTCTGCACAAACTGTTTCAGGGAAGGTCATCTGCATGTTCATCGTCCTCATCAGGGTCTCGACCTGACTGCAGTTCGTCGTCGTAACTGACTTGAGTGGGCAAATGCTCACATTCTATGGCGTCTGGCATTTTGGAGAGGTGTTCTCTTCACGGAATCTCGGTTTTCACTGTACAGGGCAGATGGCAGACAGCGTGTATAGCCTAGTTCACACTACGTGATTTTAAGCCCGATTTAAGCCCGATTTGCAAATCGTTGAGTCGCCGACAAGTCAGGGTGTTATCGCGTGCAAATTGCGGGCGATTAGCGGACGATTAACGCTCGCCAATCCGTTAGTGTGAAAGAGCCAACAACGCACCAAAGACAGCTCGCAGACAGGTCACCGAGCTCAGAAAAATATCTAGCATGCTAGATATCTCGAGCAGTCGCGCGACTCAATCTCAGTGATGTCATGAGTACAGCCAATCATAGCAACGCATGGGTTGAGGACACCAGGTAAATCTTACTTTTTCTTTTCTTTTTTGCATTTTTTTTCTCAGAGCAGATCGTCGAGCAAACAGTGTGCAGCACTAGTTTCTGTCTGACGTCCATATTCGTGTGTTGTGTTCTTCTCTGCAGTTTCGCGTCATTTCTGGTTCGTTTTATTGCGTGGTTTTTCGTGACAAAACATGGTTTCTAGACCAGATAGAATCGTGTTGTTGTCAACTCGTTATTTGTTTGATTATTTTCAGGATTTAGACCGTACTATAGTACTGAAACAGCTCTCATTGAGTCACAAATGATATGCTCTTATCATCCGATCGTGGTTGTATCTCTATGTAGTGCGTTGTTAACTCGTGTAGTGAGTTACCTCCTGTTGTGGATCAATCACGTTGTGTTGTGTGGTGTGAACAGCTAAACAACTTGAACACTCATGATTTCACTGAGAGCAAGTCATGTAGTGTAAACTGCACTGTTCAGCCCGACATTTTAAAATCATGTAGTGTGAACTAGGCTTATGGCGTCGTGTGGGTGAGCGGTTTGCTGATGTCAACATTGTGGATCGAGTGGCCCATGGTGGCAGTGGGGTCATGGTATGGGGAGGCGTATGTAATGCACAACGAACACGGTTGCATTTTACTGATTGCATTTTGAATGCACAGATTATTTTGTTCAGTGTAAGGCACACCTGTGCAATAAGCATGCTGTCTAATCAGCATCTTGATATGCCACACCTGTGAGATGGATTGATTATCGCGGCAAAGGAGAAGTGCTCACTAACACAGATTTGTGAACAATATTTGAGAGAAATAGGCCTTTTGTGTACATTGAAAAAGTCTTAGATCTTTGAGCTCAGCTCATGAAAAATGGGGGCAAGAACAAGTGTGTCGAGTTTAAAGTTGTCCAGTGTTGATTCAACCAATTACGTAATAAATGGACAGTAAATATTGATTTAAGTTAGTATTTTTATTTATTTTGTTTTTACAAAAAAGACCATCCTAGTGCTTATTTTTCCCTTATGTCCCTTTGTTTATGGTATATTTGTAGTGATATCTCTCCCTGGGTTTATTTGTTGATTTATTATTAGCTACATCTCTAAATAGAAGTTAGGTCAACAGGTCGAAACAATGTAGAAATAAAGTAAATTAACTTTTTAAATGTCACTTAAATATATTTTTGTATTTTTGCCTTTTCCAGATCCCTGGGGTTAGTGTACCTGTGCCTGAATTGGAACCAGAGGCCAAAAAACCCAGGCTTGACCGCTGACAACTGTGGACCAAGAAGCAGAGTAGTACTATAAAAATAAAAATTAAATGAAAAGATTTTCAGATCAGACACAAGGTAGTTTCAAGGGAGCCTCGAGTGAATTCACAAGTGAAAGAAATTTATATGAAAAGGTTTTAGTAGTTTTTTTTTTCTGTTTTTTTTTTTTTTACTTGCCAATACACCAATCTGTGATAAACTGTATAATTATCATTTGGAACGGTAATTTTTGGATATATGGATTAATTTTCAGTGAAAATCTCATTAAATTTTAAATATGAGTATTAAGAAATGTTTTTGTTACTTTTTTAAAACTATATTAAATACATTGTAGAGTTCAAGGGTTTATCCAAATTTGTTGTTAAACAGTGTTTAACAGTGTAAGAGAATCAATATTCTATTACAATGTTAAATCTGCTGCACAGAACAATTTGTATCAATTATTATAACCTGAAAACAAAAATCCTAAAATGGGCAGACGACTGGAATGGCATTGTCTCTTATTGGCCATGCCTTATGACATCTAAACTCTTCACCATACTTTGAATCTGGGGCAACAAGTGTCAGATCAGATTAAAAATGTTAGGACAGAACACAAGTAAAAATATAAGATTACAAAAATAAAATAAAACATCCATGACTTTCCAGCCTGAATATCTGTAAGATTCCCAGAGTTTCTAAAACAGTGGGTACCCTGTATAATTTGGAATGCAGAAAGAAAAGAGAAATGTGCTTTATTTCTTCTTTACATTTCAATTGAAAAACTAAAACATCAGCTGTAAGTACATGCTGAATGTATTTGGCTCTAGTTCAGAACAGCTGTGTACAAAAACAATAATATGTGCCTATGTAACATCTTTTGATAGATTTTAAAAGAAATATTTTTCTTAATTAGATTTTTTCACTTTTAGAAAGAGTGTTAAAGGGATAGTTCACCCAAAAATGAAAGCTAAGTCATTGATTACTCGCCATCATGCTGTACCAACCCCATAAGACCTTTGTGCATCTTCGGAACACAAATGAAGATATTTTTGATTAAATTTGAGAGCTGTATCACTACCACATAGGCTCCTAAGGGATTGAAACTTAACGGCCCAGAAAGTCATTAAAGATGTTTAAATGTTCCATGTGACAACAGTGGCTCAACTATAAGTTTATCAAGTGACGAGAATACTTTTTGTGCTAAAAAACAACAAAAATAACGACTTTATTCGACTATTCCTTTTCTTCCTTGTAGGTCTGAGACGAGAGTTCAAGAGATTTCCACGACGCATGCACGAGAACTGAACTGAAGAAGTTTAAGTTCGCAATTCTCACGCATGCGTCATGGAAATCTCTTGAACTCTTGTCTCGGGCCTACAAGGAACAAATGGAGTAGTCGAATAAAGTCGTTATTTTTGTTGTTTTTTTTAGCACAAAAAGTATTCTCGTCACTTGATAAACTTATAGTTGAGCCACTGTAGTCACATGGAATATTTAAACATTTTCTTCAATGACTTTCTAGGCAGTCAAGTTTTAATCCCTTAGGGTGCCTATGTGGTAGTGATCCAGCTCTCAAATTTAATCAAAAATATCTTCATTTGTGTTCCAAAGACTAACGGAGCTCTTACGGGGTTGGTACAGCATGGGGGTGAGTAATTGATGACTTCATTTTCATTTTTGGGTGAACTAACCCTTTAATGTTATTCTTGTCTGTAAGAGAACAAATTGCAAGCTGGTCAAGGACACAGGCACTGTTTTTATAAAGACATTTTATTACAATTCAGATAGACATGCTGCCATAATTTACATGTTTACCTTGTGGTATCTCCATATGTTTTAGTGATTGATTCATTCATAAATTATTTTAAGATTGTAAATAAAAAAAGGTCCTATAAAAACAGCTAGGGAAATGGTTACATACCTCCCATCCCCTTAACAAAAGTTATTGCAAGCTACATTTACATTCCACAATCAAAACCATACAAAAATCTTATTCAAGTCTCAAATTCATTCATTTTTGAAGCACGAATAAATAATGCAGTGGATTAGTCCGTACAAAAAAAAAAAACTAAGGCTCAGACAATAATACCAACCACAGTATTTAGCATACTCGGAGATGAAATTTAGTAATCAGCTTGATGTGTATATCGTGGCTCCTCCACAGCTTTGGGCATAAGAGTGTGTAAAGTGCCTGTTTTGTCCCTCATGCTCAGTGCAGTGGGATGAACAACTGCAGAACAAAACATATCCTCATTTAAAAATGACCTAGTGTGGTTATTCACAGTGCATACGTTTTATTTATACAAAAATAATCAAGTGAATACAATTTGAGTGTGCTAAATAAATAGCTCAAAAGAGCTGAATAAAGTATTCAAATGTGATATAGTTGGTTACAGTGACTGATTTTAGCTGTGTAGTGTGTATGTGACATTACCTTTGGCTTAGTGTGTCTAGTGAAAGGTACACCCTCCTCAGCAGTGTGTGTGTCCAGCATTTCCTTACTCTGGCTGTCTGAACTGAGGGCGTCCATTAAGCTGTTAGTGCACACCGAGTGAGAGTTATAACCGCTATCCACCTGCACAGAGAACATGAGGGACAGATCAGACCTAAACCTGACATGAGTTTAAGCCTACAAATTAGTCATCACAATTCCGTAAAAAAAAAGCTTGCAAAAACAATTTTCTATTTTTGTAAAGCAATAACTAAAATAAAAACTACAGTTCTTGGAGAGAAGCCGGTTCAGCTGTCACCACCAGCCAGTTTCACAACGTTTTAGGTCAGCTACACCTGCTGAGTTACTGTTTAAACAACTCTTCATCAAACTAAGTTGTGTAGTATTTGGAGGATACTTGGAAGCCACTGGTCATCTGACAGCACGCATACTAACCTGCATGCTAATGTCATATGGTGTGATGCTCCCTTCTGCTAGCAGGGATACGAACATGTGCGTACTCTCGGCGTTAGGCACACTGCCTGTTCGAGAGCTGGACAGTCTAGCTGGTGATGCAGTGTCCTCTTCAGGAACCCAACCACAGGATTCCACTCTGCACCTGCTGATGACCTCATCCTCCTCATCTTCACTTTTGTTGGACTCAATATTACCTTCCGTATCCTTCACTAACTGCTCGTCTTGATCCATTTGCTCTGAAACATCCACAGAGGCCTCTGACTCACTTCCCCCTGATAGCAGTCCTTCTAGGTGGGCATGAGGCCCTGACGAACTGGTGTCCAGGTCCATTGTGGGTAAAGGTTCACTTGGATGGATGTTCTCCTTGTCGTAGAGGATTGGGGAAATGTGAGTAGGAGAGGCCCACATAGAGACTCTGGGTCTGGACTGAAAGGGGGAGCAGCTGCGAATAGGGGAACAGCCCTCCACCAATGGGCTTTTTCCACATCGGTTCACGTCCATGTCCGAGCTGCCCGTAGGAACTCCACTGGGGGACACAAAAGACAGCCTTTTCCTCTCACCTATAAAGACAAAGTTTTAATGTCATCTTACATACATTTATCTAAGGTCTTATAAACAGTGGTTCGCAAGTCGGTGTAAAGCAAATAATAAATTACATTGATTGCAAAATTAAAATAAATTAGCAATGATTGAGATATAGCTTAGTGTGACTATCAAATCAAAAGCTGTGATTGAATTACATAACTATCATCTAATGTGCTACAGAGTGAAGCATGTTAATGTTCAATGCACACACTCTTATGGCGCTTTTCCATTACCAGTATTCAGCTCACTTTTCGCTTCGTTTTCCATTGCAGACAGTACCGACACAAAAAATAACCCGGTCGTCAAATAGTAGCGACGCCTTTCGTTCCTCGTTGCCCCATCAAGTTCTCGCTGGATCCTCTCTTCGGCAACCAAAAAAAAAGGAAAGTCTGCACCTCCTCGTTTGACAACGGTGTATTCTTCTGAGTTGCCATAATAGTAGTAAGTTTAGTAACTATCTCTGGCCAAACTATTTAAACATGGCGGGTGAATGGTGACTGCAATCGGCATTGTTTTCACGTGACATTTTAGAATCGCCTTAGCTCGCTCACAACCTCGCCGCAGGTGGTACAAAAAAAAAAAAAAAAAAGTAGCCGAAAGCAGGTACAGGTACAACTTTTACACAGTGGAAAACCAAACAAAGGCGAGCCGAGCCGGTACTGGGTAGTGGAAAAGCACCAATACATACACATATATATTTAATTTCTATGAGGTTACCCTAAACAGAGGTTAATCTCCAAAGGTTAAATTCCAGAATAAAAAAACAATAAAAATGTAAGATTTTATCTGTTTAATTGCATGTCATGTGACCACTAACCAACACAGGAAAACCGTGAACATGTTAAATGATTGAAATACTAAAAATCTCAGGGGGTACTTTAAGTAAATATTTTGTCTAACAGGTTTAGCTGACATAAGAAAGTTTGGAAACCCCTGAATCTATCTGTCTATCTGGTCATACAAATTACATTTTAAAACCCTGGCACCATCTCAGATTTTTTACCTGATGCAGGCGTCATCAAATGCTGAAGTCTGATAGGCGACAGAATAGGAGATTTAAAGGCAGGAGAAGCTCTCTCTGAAAACACTGGACTTGTGATACTGCCCAGACTGTAGGCTCGACACTGGTCTCGGATGGGACTGGAAGAAAACTGGCCCTGAAAATTATGGGTAAAAACATAATATTAAATTATTAGAATCAGGTATCCTTGATCCAGATTTTTTTTAGTATATACAAGGGTGAAATGGCCGTGGGCAAATCTATGAATTGGTACTTAGTACATACAGACAATGGTGTGCCGCTTGGAATGCCACACTGAAGTGGAGAGACAATAACAGAAGACATCATCTCTCGATTGCTGGGAGGTATGTTATGAGAGTTTCTATCTGGGCTGGAAGGGGTAGAAGACTCAGAGCCGCTGTCATGACCATCCAGAAACAGCTTACGTCGCAATGAAGAGGAGCTAAGGCTTTCCTGCACCTGTTCAGTTAACTCTTCTGTCTTATAGTAATCACCTGATAGAATAGAAGTTCTCAAGTTAATATCAACAAGAAATTAAGGTTGTAAACAACAAAATTATTTGAACAGCATCAGGCACAACAGACAAACAATGCTGCGCTGAGGTAATGCTAATCTGACACTTCACTTCATAGAGATCAATGCATTGACCAGCACTGACACCAGCCACGAGAAATCTCCTCAAGATTAATATCAGGCAGGCTACGGTGTTTATTTCGAGTGTTTTTGTGTTTTATCAAACAAATTGAACACAAATTTTGGGTATATTGTCTTTTAAGAATTCAAGCAC